TATTGGTTTGTTTTTATTCATTTATTTTTCAATATTCAAAGGTAACATCTCTGTAAATGACAATCTTTGTGGAATTCATAACTTGTATCTTCAACACACATCGGAAACTTCGCCTTTCCTCTTAAAACAACTCGTAAGACGATATATATACCCCTAAATGATGCATTTCTCTTGCGGAATGACCACCTGTCTTTCTTCGTTCCATGCTTAACAACTGAATTGAGACATTACACAAATTGATTGTAATACAGTGAATGCAAGAAATGAAGAGAAAATGAACAAAGGTGTAATCACAGTGAGCTATACAAGATCCATGCCTCTTCTAACCTTTATAAAATATGTCTTCATCAAATAAAAGGAAAGGAAAATCAATATTACTTACAACATTTTAATAACCATAAGAAAGAGGGATTTCCTTAATAGCATTTACAATGAATATTGTTCAGTCACACACAGAACAACTGTCTATAGAGGAATTGGCCTGACAACTTTTACTCATAATTTGTCAATACTTAAAACAACTATTACTCCAGAAACTGCAACAAAAATTTAGTAACATCCTTAGGTTAGACCAAATGAAAGATGAGTTATTTACAAGCATGATATTCATTTAATGATGTCCTATCTCATTTGCATGGTAGAGTTGTAGAGTAACTGCACCAGTGAAGGATGGTAAATTTTACTCCAATTTGCTACACGTATCCAAACTCAAGTCAGTTAACATCCAAATAAGCAAGTCCCCGGGTTGAGTCTGTGCTTGAAGGGTTACAGCATCTTATTATTCAAATGCTACATAGCAAAAAAAATAAAATAAATAAAAAAAAAATTAGTCCATAAAAATAAAAAGTGAGCTTTATGGAATAAATGTGAAAATCAAACAACAGCTTACAGCTGTGAACTGAGCATGTGATTCCTAATTTTCCATTTCAACTTAAACATGATCTTGAATCACAGTTCCTGCAAATCCCTGTTCAGTGCTTAGTACTGACACAATGACTTTTGATAAATTGCATATAATCTTCCACCTCCTACAACTTAAGCAATACCTATCAAAATAATTGAGTTATTGGGTTACCTTGGAGCATTTCTGCACTGCTCCACACACACACTTTCTCAAAATCTTCGAGGGCTAAATTGGTCTTCCCTTCTCAAATTAACAGTGGGTACATGTCCTTCTGTGATCAATGTAATCAACTTAGTGCATCAGCTGCAAGGGCCCAGCAACCAAGTCACTTCCACATAAGGCTGGGGGTAATGTTTGTTCCACTGGGTTGGTAGATACTTTACCTCTTTATCTGAAGGAGTGAAAAGAAACTAATAAACAAAATAAGTGTGCAGTATTCATTGGATCTGACTTGTCCTTGAATAGAAGACTGCAGCATTTCTTTTTTTTCTTTTTTGAAGCTGAACTAAAAGGCCAGGTTAAAATAGAAAAAAAGAAGACATTGCATTGTACATTTGGCCTGTAAATTTCTTACACATCCTTTTTAATTTTGTTAAATTTCGTAACCTCCAGTCACCAGCAGCTGACTAGGTAATATGGTTGATGGGATTTGGTAAGAGTACAAATATCTATCAAAATTAAATCCATGTCCAAGGTTTTCTTTGGAGGATCTAGAGAATATATGAACCAACAATGTGTTACACACCACATCTATTCAGGAACTCCAGCTAGAGGGGCACCAGGTGGGGCAGGCGTGGGCGAGTTCATTTGTCGGCCCTGTTCCTTAACAATAGGGTAGAAGTATGGGTGTTCCATGGCTTCGTGGGCTGTCAGGCGCTCTTGGTGATCGTAACGCAGTAATTTGTCCAAAAAGTCTAGTGCTTCAGGAGAAACTAGATGCTGATTTTCACTATGGACAAACCTTTCCCACCGTTTCCGGGAATGCCTGTGGTAAACAATTTTTAAAGGTTATAATAAAATAAGAGCACAGAAACGACATTAACAAGATAAAAAATGAACTTCCAAGAAAAGGTATACAATAAGCAAATTCTAAAAAAACTTTCAAAGAAAAAAAAAAAAAAAAAGAGAGAAAAAGAAAAAAAATCTGTCCTTAAATTAGACTTAAATTATATTTTTTAAAAAGCCTTTTATTCTCTTCTATCCAATCAACAACAGAATAAAAAAAATAGTCTTACCTTCCCAGAATGTCATTGAACCTAGGATCTAGCTCAATTTGATATTTCTCAACATATTCATAAAGTTCTTCAGTCCCCAAGACCTTTGCGATGCGCACCAATTGGTCATAATTGTCATGCCCGTGGAAAAATGGCTCCTTGCGGAAGATCATACTCGCTAGCATGCAGCCCAGAGACCACATGTCCAAGGAATAATCATACATCTGTGAAATGCAAACAAAGAGTATATATTATGATCAGGAAAAGAAAAAGTCTCTGCTTTGACAATATCCTCACTGTTTTTAATATTTTAATCTTAAACAAAATTCCACATTTTATTAGCATTAAAGAAAAAAAGATCACAAAGAAAAGGATTATGTCTCTTTTATATATAGAATAAACAGTAAATGACCCAACTGCTGTATTGAGAGAGTGAGTGAGGGGGTTGGTGGGTGGTTGAGAGAGAGAGAGAGAGAGAGAGAGAGAGAGAGAGAGAGAGAGAGAGAGAGAGTGAGAGAGTGAGAGAGTGAGAGAGTGAGAGAGTGAGAGAGTGAGAGAGTGAGAGAGTGAGAGAGTGAGTGAGTGAGTGAGTGAGTGAGTGAGTGAGTGAGTGAGAGAGTGAGAGTGAGTGAGAGAGAGAGTGAGAGAGGAGAGAGTGAGAGAGTGAGAGAGTGAGAGAGTGAGAGTGAGTGAGTGAGTGAGTGAGTGAGTGAGTGAGTGAGTGAGTGAGTGAGTGAGTGAGTGAGTGCCTGCAGCACGTGGTTGTGTGCGGTTGAGCAACATAAAAAAAAAAGAGTAATTTGGATTGGAACTGAATGGTAGACTTAAAGTGAAGATGATCGGGTATACGAGGAGATTACTTCACTTGAACACCTCACTAATCTTCCAATAAAGGCATGACAAAGGACACAATACAAAGATAAGGAGAAAGTAAACTGACCTGATAATCTACAAGAAGTTCAGGGCCCTTGAAGTATCTGGATGCCACCCGGACATTGTATTCTTGGCCCGGGTGATAGAATTCTGCCAAACCCCAATCAATGAGGCGTAGTTTCCTGTTCTCGTGGTCTATCATGACATTGTGAGGTTTGACATCTCGATGCATAATTCCCATACTGTGACAGTAATCTAATGCCTGTAGAGGGGCGGAAAAAAAAGCCAATGTTTAAAAATATATACTTTTTATAATATAATAGCAAAATATCACTACATGGATTACTGGCAAGCGCATATGACACATATATTCAATAGCAAATAATTTTAACTACCTTTACATAAATTTTCAAAACTTCCAATGTATAAAAAGGAAAGAGTCAATATAGAGAGATTAATAAATAATTATACAATAATCCATAAACTTTATACGTAAGAGAAAAAAAATTGACTACAGCTTCCACTGCACAATAGTGACACCGCACCAGACTAAATAATCAATTATAGATAAAATTGGAAAATTGTGATTCATTTTTATGAACACTCTCTTCAGTTACTGTACTATATATTACGAATATTCAATGCAATGGTGCCTCAAGAATTTGTTAAATATGAGACTGCAACACTGTATGGAGTCCACAAATGTTTACCAAACTACTAGATACCACACTGACAGTGGTCTTAACTTCAACCTTCAGTCTCCCACAAACTTCAAAACACCCTTTATATTATCATGCTATCCTAACCTCTGAAATCTATCATCAAAGAAATCCACAAACCACTGAATACCTTCTCTTACTCACCTTAAGAAGCTCATACAAGTAGTATCTAATATCATAATCATTGAGCGTCTGATAAAGTTGCTTGAAGTCTGTGTTGTTAACATGTTCAAACACTAATGCAGGAGTACGTGAGACAGGATCCTTTACGACTGCCTGGAGTGTGATAATGTTGGTCCCTCCTCGAAGATTTTCCAAGATCTTAATCTCACGTTTGATCTTCTTTTTCTTGACTGGCTGTTTTGGAAAGTAAATATCGCATTTGTTTATCGAGAGGTCCGTCTTTACAGTGGATAATGATAAAGAAATCTTGTGGTAAGTACTTAGGTTTTGATAGTATATGCTCATATAATCAGAGGGGGATTAAAAATAGCTTATATTTATTCATTAAACGAATTTCATTAAAATCTGATTGTTATATTAGCAATAAAACTTTAGTGTAAATTTCAACTGATATAATTATAATCAGAGATATAAAAGATACACGTAGTACAAGAACAGTTCATACCTTGAGGATCTTGACAACACATTTTTCATTGTTGTTAATGTTTACAGCCTCAAACACTTCTGAATATTTCCCACGGCCTAATTTCCTAACAAGCTGATAATCATCTTGGTGTCTGGAAAATCAAATTGCTATAAACATTTTGAGGTATTTAGGCTGGGGGAGAGAATGAATTGCAGTTAGAAAGTTTTTTCTCATAAGGGATATGGGAGGGGGAGGGGGAGGGGGAGGGAGGGAGGGATGGGGGAGAGGGAGGGAGGGAGGGATGGGGGAGAGGGAGGGAGGGAGGGATGGGGGAGAGGGAGGGAGGGAGGGAGGGATGGGGGAGAGGGAGGGAGGGAGGGATGGGGGAGAGGGAGGGAGGGAGGGATGGGGGAGAGGGAGGGAGGGAGGGATGGGGGAGAGGGAGGGAGGGATGGGGGAGAGGGAGGGAGGGAGGGATGGGGGAGAGGGAGGGAGGGAGGGATGGGGGAGAGGGAGGGAGGGAGGGATGGGGGAGAGGGAGGGAGGGAGGGATGGGGGAGAGGGAGGGAGGGAGGGATGGGGGAGAGGGAGGGAGGGAGGGATGGGGGAGAGGGAGGGAGGGATGGGGGAGAGGGAGGGAGGGAGGGATGGGGGAGAGGGAGGGAGGGAGGGATGGGGGAGAGGGAGGGAGGGAGGGATGGGGGAGAGGGAGGGAGGGAGGGATGGGGGAGAGGGAGGGAGGGAGGGATGGGGGAGAGGGAGGGAGGGAGGGATGGGGGAGAGGGAGGGAGGGAGGGATGGGGGAGAGGGAGGGAGGGAGGGATGGGGGAGAGGGAGGGAGGGAGGGATGGGGGAGAGGGAGGGAGGGAGGGATGGGGGAGAGGGAGGGAGGGAGGGATGGGGGAGAGGGAGGGAGGGAGGGATGGGGGAGAGGGAGGGAGGGAGGGATGGGGGAGAGGGAGGGAGGGAGGGATGGGGGAGAGGGAGGGAGGGAGGGATGGGGGAGAGGGAGGGAGGGAGGGATGGGGGAGAGGGAGGGAGGGAGGGATGGGGGAGAGGGAGGGAGGGAGGGATGGGGGAGAGGGAGGGAGGGAGGGATGGGGGAGAGGGAGGGAGGGAGGGATGGGGGAGAGGGAGGGAGGGAGGGATGGGGGAGAGGGAGGGAGGGAGGGATGGGGGAGAGGGAGGGAGGGAGGGATGGGGGAGAGGGAGGGAGGGATGGGGGAGAGGGAGGGAGGGAGGGATGGGGGAGAGGGAGGGAGGGAGGGATGGGGGAGAGGGAGGGAGGGAGGGATGGGGGAGAGGGAGGGAGGGAGGGATGGGGGAGAGGGAGGGAGGGAGGGATGGGGGAGAGGGAGGGAGGGAGGGATGGGGGAGAGGGAGGGAGGGAGGGATGGGGGAGAGGGAGGGAGGGAGGGATGGGGGAGAGGGAGGGAGGGAGGGATGGGGGAGAGGGAGGGAGGGAGGGATGGGGGAGAGGGAGGGAGGGAGGGATGGGGGAGAGGGAGGGAGGGAGGGATGGGGGAGAGGGAGGGAGGGAGGGATGGGGGAGAGGGAGGGAGGGAGGGATGGGGGAGAGGGAGGGAGGGAGGGATGGGGGAGAGGGAGGGAGGGAGGGATGGGGGAGAGGGAGGGAGGGAGGGATGGGGGAGAGGGAGGGAGGGAGGGATGGGGGAGAGGGAGGGAGGGAGGGATGGGGGAGAGGGAGGGAGGGAGGGATGGGGGAGAGGGAGGGAGGGAGGGATGGGGGAGAGGGAGGGAGGGAGGGATGGGGGAGAGGGAGGGAGGGAGGGATGGGGGAGAGGGAGGGAGGGAGGGATGGGGGAGAGGGAGGGAGGGAGGGATGGGGGAGAGGGAGGGAGGGAGGGATGGGGGAGAGGGAGGGAGGGAGGGATGGGGGAGAGGGAGGGAGGGAGGGATGGGGGAGAGGGAGGGAGGGAGGGATGGGGGAGAGGGAGGGAGGGAGGGATGGGGGAGAGGGAGGGAGGGAGGGATGGGGGAGAGGGAGGGAGGGAGGGATGGGGGAGAGGGAGGGAGGGAGGGATGGGGGAGAGGGAGGGAGGGAGGGATGGGGGAGAGGGAGGGAGGGAGGGATGGGGGAGAGGGAGGGAGGGAGGGATGGGGGAGAGGGAGGGAGGGAGGGATGGGGGAGAGGGAGGGAGGGAGGGATGGGGGAGAGGGAGGGAGGGAGGGATGGGGGAGAGGGAGGGAGGGAGGGATGGGGGAGAGGGAGGGAGGGAGGGATGGGGGAGAGGGAAGCTGCCTGATATATACCTACTAAAAGTGACAATGCCCATAGCTGAGAGGTAGATTTAGAAGATAATGAACCTTATGCATAAGAGAGGGAATGGATAGGTATGTTATTAACTGAACTGTACTGGATTTTTTTTAGTTAAATGACCACAGCTATCCAGGATTTAAACAATGTAATACCAATACTAATAACAATAATAATAGGGGTAAAATATTCAAACTGATTCCAGCTATATAAATACACTTTCAGAGGGAAAGAATCATGTCACTATATGCTGAAGCGCTACAATTACTGTAACAACTCTACATGTACTATCTTACAAAATCATATCTATGTTTACAACTATGTAACTATGTAACCTAATAGCTGTAGAATAAAATACTTTGTACAACTTCTATATCATTACTCTCTAGTCATACTATACTACCATTACTTATACTGGCCAGCTACTTACTACAACAAACAGTATTAGTAATAACCAATAGTAAACATTAAAAAAATTCCAGATACGCAGGATGTGATCAAAACAAGATAAAATAAAAGAGCAGAGAAGTGGAGAGGTGGAGGAGCCAAGGGGAGAAGAATGCAAAGGACAAATAAAAAGGAATGCAAGAAGATGAATAGCAAGAAAAAATGGGAAACTAATATCATCAATAACAATGACAGTATATGCCTTAGAATTCTTATATTACTAATTATATTACTGTATAATCAAGGAAGAAAGTACATTTCAGACTGTCCTGGAAGTCTATTTCTTGTTTCATATTTTGATTTGAAATTTCACTCAAATAAATCAAACATATGACTCAAACATTTCCAAATATTGCCAATGTAATAAGCAGTTGAATATTGCGAAAGAGCCACAATGCATCAAGTGTCGAAGGTGCTGAGCTTTGATTTTCTTTTCAAAACAAATCAATATGTTCTTTTTGTGCTTTCCTTTGTAA